TTTACCTATTAAGACTGAGTTTAGTATTTTTAAAATTACAATTAAAAAAATCAGGTGTTTGTTTTTACATATAACTTTACTTAATATTCATCCTTAAATTACTATTGTTTTTTCTCCATAGGTATGTAAGTCTTAATTTCCTATGTCCCATACTATGCATCTTCTCTATTATATCAATTCATTCCACTTTTTATTTTTTTCGACAATCTATTCATTCACTTCCTACTGTTAATTTATATAAGAATTTATCAATTTATACTTTCCCTCTATTATATCAATTCTTTCCCCTCTCCCTCTCCCTCTCCCTCTCCCTCTCCCTCTCTTGACAATAAGATTTGATCATTCCCTAATGTTAATCTGTATAAGATTTGATCAACTTAATGAATAATATCGTTATAGATTCATATCAAAATATGGACGTAATAGACAAAGAAACATATAAAATTGATTTAATGTTTTTCTTTAAATATATCTTTCTCTATTGTCCCGCTTCACTTCTTTTCTTTTTTTCATTTTTGACAATATAATTCCTTCCCTATACTAATTTGTATAAGAATTCATCAACTACTTAATGAGGATTATTATCATAGATTCATATCAAAATCTAGATGGAATAAATATAAATTAATTTTATATTTTCTTTAAATATTTTATTAGCAATGGAAAAAATCACAATATATAAATGCGAATTAAAAATAATAAGATACTTTTTTAATTTAGGTAAATAAGTAATGCAATAAAATAATTTTGCTGAATAGAGATTCAACATATTATTTATTTATTTTTTTGGTAATCTTCAACATAGTAATCCTGGATATTAATTTTATATTTTTTTGGTAATCTTCAAAATATAAAATTAATTTATACTTAATGAGGAATATTATTATAGATTCATATCAAAATCTAGATGGAATAAATATAAATTAATTTTATATTTTCTTTAAATATTTTATTAGCAATGGAAAAAATTACAATATATAAATGCGAATTAAAAATAATAAGATACTTTTTTTAATTTAGGTAAATAAGTAATGCAATAAAATAATTTTGCTGAATAGAGATTCAACGTAATTCAACATAATTTAGTTATGCATGAAATAAATGTGTAATTCATGACCAATTAAATTACTATGTTGAAGATTACCAAAAAAATAAATAAATAATATGTTGAAACTCTACCAAAAACACATTCTATTGAATTATTCAGTTATCTAGATTGAAACAAAAAGTTGAATAACTTGTTATCAAAAATTATTTCGTATGTGCATGTGTAAAAAAGTTTTACAATATTAACCAATAATGCGTTGCCTCGTCATTTAAAAGTATTTATTTATTAATTTTATTGTTTTCATTTTTCAGTTTATATTGTTAAAGTATTTATTTTTTATATGTTGTACTTATTTTATTTCCTATAATTTATATTTATTAAGATATAAATTTTAATTTTTCAAGAATGATTAATACTTATAATTTTCATTATTAAGGTGTTAATTCTAAAATCCAATAAATGAAAGCATGTCAACGGAAACCTGAAGTACGAGGATATTGCTTAATTTAACACACACACACACAAAATTGATTAAACCCCCTATAAAATCCACACGGATCGAAGTGTTTTCGAATTTGTGTTGTATTCGTATTGACAAAAATTAATATAAAAGAATTATATATCATTGTGTCAATCCGTGAATCCAAAATTAATCATTATTAATATTCTTATATGTTATACGTATCAACCTGCATAATAAATAACATATTTTGGAATTCACAAGTTATTTGTATCATATCAACCCAAATAATAAATGATACACTTTGAAATTGTAGATTATCCATGTTGTATCAATGTCAATCTGAAAAATAAAATAAATAATAGTCATACCAAATATTTTAACCCAATTTAAATTTATATCATATTAATATTAAACGTACGTATATTTCTATCGTATGGTGTCAATTCAAATTACCCACCTATGGTAGAAAGCATACGCTAACAGCCCCAAATAAACACGAGGCTTAGATAAGTCTACTTTTTACAAAAGGATCAACGAGTGACAACTTAACTCCATTACAGACGTCCGGACTGTTCAATTTTATTCAGATGAATTATTAACTGATATTCAAAAAGCTTTTCTTTTAATTTTTACTAATGGGTTTAGAAAAAAATTCTGCCATGCTCACATAAAGAAAATAAATCCCATTAATTAATTTTTTCTCATTTCTTTATAATGGAATTCACATATTTTTATATGAATGTAATAAAAAAAAATACTACAACAAAAGCAGAAATATTTTTTCCATTATTATTATATACTTAAAAGAAGATATTTGTTTTAGGAGTGCAACGAACTTTCTTCTTCTTAATTTAATTGTTTTAGGACTTCTGAGGTACCCCTAAGAGATTGATAGCTAATGATGCTAACATGGATTTATATTGCTATGGCACACACACACATGCATACTGATGGAGTTACTATATTCCTTAATCTAGCTAGTTGCAGGTACTTCAATAGATGACATATGGTAAAGGCTATCTATGCTGACAGATTAGAACCTTGTTGTAAAGCCATTCAGTCCATGAAGGTGCTTTGCAAATAGGTGAAACAAGAATCAATCCAAGAACTCGTTCTTTGTATTTCATTTTCCAAATGAGAAAAAGCACGATGATTTATTATACTAGATTGTTATAATCGATAAAGTTAAAAACTCACAGTTGCCAACTTACAGCAAATAGTGTCAGGATATTGGCTTGTTTTTTTAATCCAAAAATGTATTCAATAGTAGACAAATACTCAATTTCCTTTACATAGAGATACTAAATAAATATGTACCCATTTACAAAAAATAAATAAATAAATAAATATGTACCCACTTCCCTTATTAGTTTAATGTATCCAGCAATGCAGAGACAATATATTTAGTGCATGGCATCAATAGTTATCACATGTCGCCACCTTTTTTTGTAACATAAGGATCAGGCAAATGGAGGCTTACCCTGCGGTCTGCCCCTGGCCCCCTGCCACTGGGTGTCCTTTTCCACTCCCATCAGTGTTTATTGATTTCATTTTTGGGTTTTATGTTTATTATGTAACATGATATAACCTCACTTTCCTACACACACATTAAAGAGGTGGAGTCCACATGTTTTTCTTTCTCTTTCATCATTCCACTTTCTCTCTCCCTTTTATTGTGTGTGTTAAAAACAACACTTAAATTATGTTACATAACATTAATAAAACCCTTCATTATGCATTGTACATAAAACATTCAAATAATGTAATTAAACTCAACTTAAGTAATTTTCAAAATATAGCTCCCACCTTGAGTTTGTGCATTTAGTATAACTACTTCCTCTGAACGATATCATCTTGGATTAAGCTATCTTTGAATATGATCTTGGATTTCAAATTATAACTTGAGTAGAAGGAGAAAAAAAATAACGAAACCTTTAAATTAGGTCAAACTATGATTTGAAAAACATAACCCAGTCATATCCTAAATCCAACACCTTAGATTAATTTTAGTGTTTTCCTGATTTACCGTGTTATATCTGTGTTAAACATGGTAAAATATTCAGGCATAGATTGCTATATTAGTTTTTGGGATTAGTGTTTTTTTATGTTGTAAGATATAATTTTATTTTTTACACGCACATAAAAGTGTGAGAAGCTTATGTGAGCTCATATGAAAAGAAAAAAAGAATATGAATTTTACATATTTTTATTTGTGTATAGAAAATAAAAATTATCTACTACAAATATAAGAAACATTAATTCCTTAACTTTTTTAAAAGCCAATTTAAACTTTTAGTCGCAATATAATAAGCGTAACAAAGTTTGAATTGTTGCATGTAAAGTTATGCCTATGAAAACTTGAATTGTGACTCGCCGCTTAAACAATAGCACACAATTTTGTCTGAATTCAATTTGTTTCAACCGAAAAAATGACAGATGTGCCAGCTAAACTGCACTACTCTTGAAATTTGTCAACTTATCAACCCATGATCCTATTATAGTGCATGCAGATTCATTTATAAGGAATACTAATATAAAGAAAGGATTAGTGTTTAAAAAATAATTTTATCTTTTATACATATATAAAAAGGGTTTTCGTTTTATCCTTTAACATAACGCAACAAACTTTTCTACTCTCACAACATTTTGTGGGGCCCACACTTTTTAAAACAAAAAAATAAATAAAAAATTAAGGCACGCAAAACGAATCTCTATAACATTACACAATCACTTTTCCTACAACATAACTCTTATAAGACCCATATAAAAATATACAGAACTATGTAAAATTATGTAAGAAAAAAAATATAAATCTCATGTTTACTTACTTACTTTTCTATTTGAAAGCTTCTCTTAAACATTTAGGTACCAAAAAATTCCATGCATGTTTGCCCTAAGCCTTTATAGAATTAAAATCAAAGTACAAAGGCTCCTTTTCAGTTTTCAGAACAAAAAAAATAAAAAAACTTGTTTGATAAGACCAAGTTTATAAAATAAAATAAAAATTATAACTGTTTCTTTGTTTTTATAATCAAATTTGAAAAATAAGTCTGGGTTAGTTTTTGTTTTATGTTTTGGTATATAACTTTAAAAAAAAAAAAAACTGTTTCTATAACTATTTTACAAAATAATTTTAAGAACAAAAAAATCATTACATAATTAAACAGACCCAAAGTTTTTGACGCGTAGTGTATTCAAATCCTTGATAAAGCAGGATGTGCTACGGTCAAACTGCATGTTCTCTCCAACCAAAATCAGATTCCTTTCTCTTTGTGCACTCCAAAACCAACACCAAAACCTTAACCTTCTCTCTCCACTGAGAATAAAATTATGAGATGGATTATCTAATGATTTCCCCTATGGGGCGTTTGGTACGAGAATTTTTCTAGGATTTCCGAGAAACTGAATTTTTCTAAATTTTAAATTTTCAGATATTATCATAAACTGAATGTAAAAATCATATTTTTGAAAATTGAGATTCCCGGACAAAAAAAAATTTCTCCTCTGCCAATGTCACTTCATGATTGCTACTAGCAGGTCCATGGGTATCTCCAAAGCAAAATTTGGTCATGGCCTATACCTTAAAAGGCAAGAAATATTAATACAAAGACTAAAGGCTACAAATAACAAAGGGGGCGACAAATACAAATTAAGAAGCTTGAAAAACAAAAGAAATAAACGAGAGAGAGATTAGAAAGAAAGAATGAAAAATCCTTGACTGGGCAAAGTTTTTAATCATGATGATGCTTTCTTACGAGCAAACCGCTGTAAAGATTTTGGTAGCTCAACTCCCTCACTAGTGTTCTGCTTCTTTCTCAATATGTTTTCCTCCTCTTGAATTTTATGCTCTAAGTAAGGCCTCTTCACTCTAGCAATTGCGTCTTGCGTTTTCTGTATCTTTTTACCTGGCTTATTTCTTCCTTTTGTTTTGTTCTTCATTTTTGTGCCCTTAACAGCTTCAACAGCAGCTTCCATCTCAGCCTCCCTCTCTTGGTTTGTTGGTTTCTCTTTTCTTGTTGGTTTTACCGTACCAATCTTGCTGGGATCCAGCATGATGGTCTCAGGTGGAAGCTTATCAAGAAGAGACCTTACTTCCTTTTCTCTCCTCTGTTTAGATGTTTCAAATGGGTTTGCAACCCATGAGTCAAAGTTGGGTTCTCCTGCTCCAGGAATAAGAATACTAGACCAGCCCATGGAATGCCCTATGCCTAGAACATCTTCATATGGTCGAAATACTAATTTTCCTATCTGGTAACCTTTCACCATGGAATGAGTCATATACTTAGAATAGTTCTGTGTACTAGACACATCACTCAGAACCTGAATAAATGAACCATTACCACAAGCAAGCAAACCTTTTTGACTAAAATCCAAAGTATTTGCATGGCCTGGTAATATTTGTAGAGCAGCCTCTAATTTCCTCAAGTCCCAAAGCTTAATTTTTTTATCTTTCCCGGCAGTGGCCATTAAGTGGCCATTTGAGTGAAATGCCAGCGCTGAGACAGGCCCATGATGACATAGCATCTTAACAAGAGGAGAAGAACTGGTTGGCTTCCACATAGTAACCGTACCACCTGAGTGACCTAAAGAAACAACCCCATTGAAAGGGTTCACTTGCATCACGTTTGTACGTCCTAAGCCAGTTCGAAAATTACCAGCCATGCTACCCGTTGTAACATCCTGATAATGAAGCTGGCCAAGTTTGTTGATTGAAGCCAAGAGAAAATGGTTTTCCAGAAACTGAAGCCTTAACACTGGACCATGTTCCTGGGAAAAAGGATACACAACTCAACCCCATAAGGATACATCCCATATGTACGGTTTCAGGAGACGGTAAAAAATAACCATTTATAACTATTTTGAGGCTTTTAAGAATCAAAACTCATGTCCAACAGCACACTTTAGGGTATATATGCCCTCATTTATGTTCCACTAGTGGATATGCCCAAGGCAGTATTCAGCATGATTTACGTACTTTATACACTAACCTAGCTCATTGAATAATATGAGGTATGCAAATTGGGATTAATTACAATTTGAAGCAGCACTAGTAGGTATTGGATCCACACATGATAATCAGGATTGTGGATACTAAAAGAATTTTAATGAACCTTCAAATGAATGGCAGATAAGAAAGAAAATATCAACCAGATAATACGAGATATTTAAAAACTCCTGCATATCAAAATGGTTCAACTAAAAAAGAAAAACAATTGGCCATCAGTATGTGCAGAAACATTCCAGAAACTGACAGTAGCTAAAATTTAACAATATTGCAAAAGCAATATACCAACCTTGAGGCAATGAAGCTCTGTGCCTTCACGATTATAGATGTAAGTATACCTGTCAAATTTGAAAATTATAGTCATTTAACATGAACAGGACTATGTCCACAAATAAACCAAACTAAATAATTTTTTTTTATGGAGGAAAAAAATTCTAATCGGCCTTTCCAAATGATAGAAAATAACAAGCCACAAATAACCTCACAAGGTTTAGATGGATTACACCAATGATGTGGCCACAAAATATAATGGAGATAAATAGACACAAGTAAAAATCTTTAAAGATAAACCCCCAAATTCTGTAATTTCACTTTGAACTTAAAATAAGCATTTAACCATCTAGAGGTGCTTTGGTCGTAATAGTAAAGCTTGATTATGCAAAGAATGAAAAACCTAAGGAATGAACAGTTCAATATCAAATCAGGGAAGAGAAATTACTTTTTCTGGGCTGCAGCAAAAAAGAGCTCATTATGCAGGAAGACCACATCGCGCACGGTTTCTCTTACCTGAAAAAACCAAAAATAAAAAACCAACAATACTTTTTTGAGAAACTAAATAATATCCATATAATACACGGTAAATCCTAGCATGAGATTTAAAGTTTTTAACAGTCAAGCAGAAAAAAAAATAGCAGCATTGAATCAAAAGTCAAGATCAGCACTAAATGATACCATATAAAGATGCCATGATGAAAATCACCACACTTAAGAAGATAAGATAAAAATGTTAAGAAATATATTAGTTAGTAAAACAACACAGAGCAAGCTCAACAATGACTGTGAATACCTGAAACTCTTTGATTAGGCTCAGATTTATCATGTCCACGATTCCCAGATGACCCTTACGACCACCAACAGCCATATACCGGCCGCTCGAAGTAAAATCCAGAGTGTATGGACCAAGTGCTGCAATATTGTTAAGAGATACAATAAATGGCAGGTCAAGAAAAGAACAAAATGTTTCCAGTCAAAAAGGGTTCTGTGAATCATTGCTGAGGAGCAAAATATATTAAAATAAGGACATGCAAATCAAACTTGTACAAAAAAACTGTTACAAGGCCAAGGCCAAAAGAAAAGGAATATTATTTTTACAGAAGACTGCAATTCGAATAATTATACAGTACGCCGCTTAAACAAATTGTACGGAAATTAAGTCATCTTAAAGCATAATCGTTAATATAAAATGCAAGACAATTAAGGGAGTAAAAATATCTTAAATGAGGATTTATCATTAAAAAGAGTCATAAGAGTCAACATTTAAGAGCAAAGAAAGAACCCATAGAAAAGATCATATGCTATCTTCAAAAGTATACAAGCAATTACATGCATGTCCGATTAGATTTCAAATTCTTATGAACTTGAACTGGTTGTAGAAGGTCTATCTCACCTCTAGAACAATGGTTTGGCTTTGCAGCCAAATAACTTAGATTTCTCATCATGTGAGAATAGAAATAAATAAATAAATAAATTCCTACATCATGCATCTCATATCATGCCCTAACAATTCATAGCGTTAATGAACGAGTCATATTTACTTTAAAATTCATTGCACTTGAATAGATTGTAAAAGGTCTATTTCACCTCTAGAACAATGGTTTGGCTTTGCAGCCAAATTGCTAGGATTTTCCATAACATGAGAACAGAAAAAAGAAAACAAACTTCATAATTTATGCTTCTCATATCATGCCTAAACAATTCATAAAGTTGTTGAACTATATGTAAATATACTCATGCAATAATCAGTAGGTCAAGAATAAATTATGGGGTATATTGCATGCTTCCTGCAACACAGTAAATGAATGCTTGATGGCTCATAAATAGACAAGATCCCAACAGAACACCAAAAAAACATCAGAGACCAGAAATCCATCCCTTCACGTAGTCAAACACCTTCACAGAGACCAACTCACACACCAATTCAAGCCCAATGCATCACTGCTTTTATACAAACATAGAAACCTAAGGTGATGTTTGGTTGGGAGCTTTTCAGAGGATATCTATGTTTCTCAAGTATTGCTTTTAGAAAAACCATGTTTGTTTTCAACGTTTTTCACCAAAAACCCATCTATCCAATTTGTCTGGATTTATGAGAAAGATAGATATCCGCACTGTTTAGAAACCCAATTTGAAGGTGGGATTTTTCGGAAAACCGGTTATCTGGCTTTTAATGCACTGTTGATTTCATAAAGTTACCTAATTTTTCCAGTAAAGTTTTTCCCAACCAAACAACTTTTTTTTACATTTTTCTACCTATCCCACTTTATCTATCTTTCCAATCATTTCTCTATCTATCTCATTTTCCTACTATTCCAAAAAAAATTCCTGAACCAAAACCCCCCTAAAGATATTAGATCATAAGATTTCAAAGTCTTGACTGCAAACCAGTAAACATAATATTCTTGGCTCAACCACACAGATCAAGAAAAGACCACAATGTGCAATTAATATATGCCACCAACAAGTGATGATGAAAAATAAGGAAATAAACTCTAATTCAATTTCCACTTATCCTTGATACTACACCTCTCCAACGAGCATCAACATCAACATCAACATCAACATCACCTTTATCCCAAATTAATTGGAGTCGGAGGTAGATGAACCCACATGATAGATACAAAACGGTTGAAAAAAATAAAATAAAATAATATATATATATATATATGTATATATAAATAAATAAAAGTAAAAAAGAAAGGGACAAGAAGAAGTGGGGGAGATGAAGGGTAAAAGGACCAAAAAAGGACCATCTGGAACATAGGAATAACAACGGGTCTAACCCTCCACCATACTTATAGCTTTTCTCCATTCCGTTCTAAGAGATACCGTCCGCCAATCTATATCCCACTCCATTAAATCTTGTTTTACCACCTTCCCCCAAGTAAGTTTCGGCCTACCTCTGCCTCTTTTTGTGTTGAGCTCTTGGTAATAAACTTTTGTTCTTACAGGAGCATCCAGGGACCTTCTCATCACGTGCCCAAACCACCTCAATCTATGTTCTCTCATCTTCTCAGCTACTGGTACTACTCCGACCTTTCGTCGAATATCTTCATTTCTTATCTTATCCATCCTTGTGTAACCACACATCCACCTTAACATCCTCATCTCTGCTACTCCCATCTTATGCTCATGTTGCCTACGTGCTGGCCAGCATTCCGCGACATATAGCATTGCCGGTCTTACTGCCGTTTTATAGAATTTTCCTTTTAACTTAACTTAAGAGGGATTTTGTGGTCACACAAAAACCCAGATGCACTGCGCCATTTCATCCACCCTGCTCTAATTCCGTGATTTACATCCTCATCAATCTCTTCACCTTTTTGTAAAATGGAGCCCAAGTATTTAAAAGCATCTTTTTTGGTACCCCTTGACCACTTAAATGCATGGGCTCTTGGTCCCCATCTCGTACCAGAGAAAACTCACACTTCAGATACTCAGTCTTGCTTCGACTTAATGTGAATCCTTTGGATTCCAATGTGCTTCTCCACAATTCAAGTTTTCTATTAACACCCTCCTTGCTCTCATCAATAAGCACAATATCGTCTGCAAAAAGCATACACCATGGCACTTCCTCTTGAATATCTTTTGTTAGTTCATCCATAACTAAGGCAAAGAGATAAGGACTTAGAGCCGACCCTTGGTGTACACCTACCGTGATAGGAAAATAACTTGATGTTCCGTTACAAGCTTTTACACATGTAGTAGCCCCATCATACATATCCTTGATTGCCTTTACATACTTTGATGGAACCTTTTTCTTCTCCAGAACCCACCATAAAACTTTCCTTGGAACCCTATCGTATGCTTTCTCAAGGTCTATGAACACCATATGCAAGTCCTTCTTCTTTTCTCGGTATCTTTCCATTAGTTGTCGCATCAAGAAAATGGCTTCCATGGTACATCTTCCTGGCATAAATCCAAATTGATTTACAGAAACCTTGGTATCTCTCATCAAGCGATGTTCAATAACCCTCTCCCACAACTTTATAGTATGGCTCATTAGCTTAATGCCTCTATAGTTTGAACAATTCTGTATATCTCCCTTGTTTTTGTAGATAGGCACAATCATACTTTTCCTCCATGCATCAGGCATCTTATTTGTCTGGAGAATCTTATTGAAAAGATTGGTCAACCATTTTATTGCCACATCCCCCAGGTCTCTCCACACTTCAATAGGGACACCATCAGGCCCCAAGGCTTTATTAGTCTTCATCCTTTTTAAAGCCTCCTTAACTTCATGTGTATTAATTCTGCGAACAAATCTTCTATTCATATCATCATACGTGTCCTCCAAGTCCACCTCGCTTGTATCTCCAAGTCCTCCAAATCTTCTATTCATCCTCTTTAAACCTCTCCAACAAGCATATTAAGCAATTTTTATTTGCATGATCTAATGATCCATGAGTAGGTGCATCGTGCATCACAACCAAAAAAAAAATGATAAACCAAAACCAAAAAGATTTAAATGGAAAATTCATTATTAACATTACAAGTTACAACAGAGACATAAATCCAACCTAACCTAGGATACTAATAACAAGCAATCAATTAACAGTACCTGGTAAGATAATATCATATTGATTCCTTGAGCTTAAGATATCTACTTCACGAGCTATTGCCTCTTGTTTGATTCTCCATGTCTTCTCTATGCCTTCAGCCTCCAGATAACCTCCCTCGCTAGGCATAAGCCACTGCAAAATCAAGATTATAAAGGCGGGAACATAGGAAGTTCAAAACATGTAATTGTACCATTATAACTAACATCAATGACTACAAATCACACAGGATGAAACTTACTTCTTTATGGCATTTTACCTATGTCACTACCATACCTCAAATTTGGAAATCCAACGGACCAAATATTTCTTGATTCTCAACACACATTTATCCTAAAATGAAATTAAACCCAATATAGAATAGGGTAGTTATGGTATCATCAATATCATCTGATTAAATCCCAATCAATTCAACAGTATATTTCTCTCAAATCAATGTTTGGGTTGGTGTGTGTGTGTGTGTGTGTGTGTGTGTGTGTGTGTGTGTGTGTGTGGGGGGGGGGGGGGGGGGGGGGTTCACAGTCCCTTACAAACCCAACTCTTGATACTGCAATAGTAAAATTGGTTGTTAACAGCCAAGCAACTGCCTACTCTAGAACCAGAAAATACACAGAGGGCTTCCTGCAACACCTCCAAACCCTAATCCCCCAAGATTCACTCAATACACGCATGCCTCACTCCACATATTCCCCTTCCATTTATCAGCTTCCCATTCGCAAAGAATCCCATAACTAACTCTCTTCCTTTTCTCTCTCCTTAACCACCCTCAATTCTGTTATTACCTTAATCAACATACTTCTGATGCCCACCAATACTCCCCCTCCAAAATCACCTTGTCCTCAAGATGAAAGAAGAGGGCAGAATCCATGAAACTCACAGAAGGGTATACTAGTCCCAATCTAATTCTAAACCATAATTAAAATTAGAGTAAGTTACTCCCCCTTCCCCGTTTACTACACATACATCCCCTCCTCTCTATTATGAAAGCATGCACAATACCCTCTTGTATTTATAAAAAGAGCCACAACTAACTCTAAAGTGTTGTCAAGCCTAACATCTTCATTAATTAAGCTGTTATCTCACAAATGTTTGTGCTCATATGTTATTACTTATTCCTATCCTTTGTTGGGTTCCATTTGCAAGGTATGGGACTTGGAGTCTCACATTGGTTGTATGGACAACCAATGTGGGGTTTATAAGGTCTTGGGCACTCCCACCCTTTGAGCTAGCTTTTGGGGTGATGCATCCCAAGGTTTCATCAAATGGTATCAGAGAATCCATCACGTGGAGTTGTGCATAGGGGCACGCACTAGGGAAGCGTGGTGAAATGTTGGGTTCCATTTGCAAGGTATGGGACTTGGAGTCCCATATTGGTTGTATTGTATGGGCAACTAATATGGGGTTTATAAGGCCTTAGGCACTACCACCCTTTCAGCTAGCTTTTGGGGTGGTGCATCCCATGGTCTCATCATCCTTCTTCAGCATTACATATTTTTATGTTGAGAAAGGGGAAGACCAAACCAAATCGTTTTTCTACTTTTCTTAACATATAAGGCTGAATAAGGGGAGGGATGATACTTTGACTACAAAAACATCCATGTTAACCACAACCTAACAGCTTAATTAGCGAATTTGTTTTAACTTGCAATTGAGTCAGGTTTAACAAACTTCATTTCATGCTAATTTTGAGCTTTAGTTTCAACTCATTTATTAATCAAGCATAGCCTATGCCAGCAAATAGTTGACTAGGCTAGGCTTGAGAATAACCATACGTGAAGTAAAACATTCCAACATTGAAGGGCTTATGCATCAAATTAATTGTGTCGCCTCAACCAATTAAAACCATAGCTCTGATTCAAATATGCAATCAAACATACCACATGAATTATTTTGCACAGGGCTTAGATAGTCAGCCACACCCATGAAATAACTTTGGAATAATTTACGTACGTATGATGTGTAAAAAACAAAAGAAAATAAAAGATTAATTCAATTAAGTAAACAGAAAAGCCAACCACATTAACAAAAACTAACCTTCTCTGCCTTAGCAGCAGCTTTTGCAGATTTTCCATATAATTCTTCTCTAACAGCAAGTTGACCCTTCAGCTTTTTATCCTTCAAAGCCTGCAAATTATAGTTTAAAAATTAAGAACAAAATATAACATTATAAAGTACTAAAGCCTCGATTCCAGTAAGCTCAATGCTTCATACCTCCAAATTAGCAACTTCTCCTCTGAGATACTTCTTTATTTTCAGATCTAGCTCATCAGAAATGTCCTGAAAAACAATGTCGCGAATTGAGAATCAAAAAATCGAAACACCGAGCAGAGATACCACACAAGAAGCATGCATTCAGCAAGCTCCATCTTTAACAGAGTGAAATAAACTTATGCTAGAGAATATTAAAATAATATAAAATTCATGAGAATCGTAAAAATTGAAGGAAACAAGGATAATCCCTAATTGTGAATTGAGAGTTCAAAAGTGCAGTACATGTTCAGTGGAAGGCTTGTTATTCGGAAGAGCGTCCTTCTCTTGCCCCTCACCCATCTTGTCTCGACACACGGCTTCAATCTCTTTCTCACGCGACAATCTCTACCTTCAACTTTCCACGACGGAGCTGGCGGTAGAGCGCCGGGGAGAGAGAGAGATGATGCGAAACGGCGCCGTAGGATCGGAGGGTTTATTTCAGGGTTTTGAACGAGTTCTGTCTGAGCCTGTACCTAATTTTTATTTGTTTTTGGTTTTTGGTTTTTTTCTTCTTTTTTTTTTTTTAAAACTACTATGTCGTCGGTGTCATTTTTGCTTTGGCATAGTTATTATTTATTATATATTTTTTATTCACTCTAACTATTTATTATTATTATTTATTTTAACGGTATATGTCACGTATAAAAAAATAATTTTAATGACAAGTTTTTTAATATTTTAAAAACAAATATTTATAATACAATAAAGGGAAAGCTTCAAAAAAAAAAGGGAAGAGGTGAGAAACTTTGATATTCCTTCTTATAATTTGTAGCATTTAATCCTAATGTTTAGGAACATTCCTTCCACTCACATCAAAGTGACAAATTTTTTTATACCGACCATAATTCTTTCTGTGAGATTAGTTAGTGACATGATATTTTATCAAGCTTCAACTCTTTATATATAGAAAATATATTTCACATTTTATGTTATTTTTTTCATTTGGTAAACTTCGGCCACCAACCACAATAACTTCTCATTCTCCATTTTCAATTTTTCATCTTCTTCCAAGTAGCAACATAAATTAGAAAGAATAAGGAATTGGGGGAAAAGGAGAAGATTTAAAAAGAGGAAAAGAGAAGTTAGATATGAAAGAAAATAAGAGAGAAGAGATAATTGGAAAGATCACTATGATTGGTTAATTCATTGATAAATCTTGTAAGCCGTGGGCTATTTATTTTATAGCCACTTACACTTTCTAATAGTAAACAAAATAAATTACCTAGTAACATAATTTGAAATAAAATAACTAATATTACTAATAAGATACGATAAATCAAAGTTATTAAGATAAACAAAACTAATTAAAATAACGTATTTTGAATTCCAAGGTATTGTGATTCAACTACAATTGATCATGTTATCAACTCACTTTTTAAAAAGGACTTCGGTTCGAATTCCTCCAACATCATCTGGGGAGTAGCATAAGTACCGTAATTCTTGGACTCGCACCCGAACTCTGGATTAGTTCCATAAACTGCTCAAAGAGTCAAATCTGTAGAGATACCAGGAATTCTGATTTGCCTCAAATAAGTAATTAGGATCGGTTTCTAAACAAATCATCTTGGAAACGACAAATCCCTATTGTGTGCGGCAGTTTGCCTAATAATACAGTCTTGCTCGTTTACACTTTGATTTATTTGTCATAAATAGTGAGCTGATATTATCCTTCGGGTGTGATGGTTGGAAACTCGGGACGATAGTCATCAATTATAAAGAATTCACTATGCCCTTTCACGACAATAACTCAAGGTGTAACTGCAACCAGATTAAGTACTCGACCCATCTCTCATACTCTCAACGATAGCTATATTAATTGTCTGAATCGCATCATTAGATCCAAATTTTTTGATTTGATTATTTAATCATCCATTTAATTTAAATTTTTTTAAAATTCTATCAAATTCAATTCATTTTAATTCAATTTGGATTAAATTGATTTTCAATTTTTTGAAAAATTTAAAATTCTAGCCGTACAAATTACTAGCTATATCAAAATAAAATTATTTAAACTTATAAATTATTAAAAAATTAAAGTCTTCAAATTAAAACAACTATTCAAACTCTTCAAGAGTTACAATAGATTAACATATAATAAAAAACTAAAACAAGATAGTTTATTATCAACAACATTCAAGATTCTAATTTTACAAAACAACAAGATTCCAAGTCTCTATCTTTCAAAAATAATAAATACATAATACATTGGATCGTTTTGGATTGTATCAATTGTCACCAACCGAACCAAGAATCGATTCAATCCAATTAAAATATGCGATTTTTTTTTTCAATTTTCGGTTAATTGGTTATGGATTTTTCGATTCGATCACCACGGTTTGAATGATTTGAATCGGTTAATGAATAATCCTACTCAAAGAGAGCTGATAAGTGTCTAAGACACTATGTTTTATGGCTAAAAAGAGTTCAAATAATGACTAAAATAGTTAAAAATATAGTGTTAAAACAATAAAATAGTAAAACAGAATGAATTGTCAACAAATAAACAAATTCTAAATATTTGTTGTTGTTTCAGGTTGTTGAGACTGGAATACTGGAATAACAAAGTAACAAAACAAGACAACGAATTCGCGCAGCAATGAAAAATCAGAAATGAAATAATAAATAATAAAAATTGTAACGCTAGCAAAGTTGCTAGCTAGAGCGAGCAAAATGGCCAGCAGCTCGCTAAGGTCTTAGCATAGGCGACTGATGGAGCGAGCGGATCAGCAAATTAAAGCCCATATTTTCCCTTTAAATACAACGCGAAGGAAGCCGTAAAAATCATTCTGGAACGCGGAAAAAGAAGGCACTTAGAGACGAAGCGAAGGAAGGAGCATAAGCGTAGCACTGGATCGTGGCAGAGGAGAAGGAATGAGTCAACTCTGCACCATTGATCATCACTTTTAGACAAGTTTACCATGAACTCAGTTTCTTTTACAGTAGATTTTAATTCTGTCGTTATGAGTATGTTAGGCTAAATTACTTTCAGTAGTTAGGAAGATACAGAACCAATGGGTTCTTAGTTGATGTTTGTTTATTCTTATGAATTACATTCTTGTTTCTAAATTATGTAATCAATCTGATATTTATGCTTAGTATTATTTATGACTTGATCACTCGTAGATAAACACATGAGTCATATATGACAACAGGGATGTTGGTATATGATTCTGATTGGTTGATTGCTAGAATTCGCATGATCTAGGGATAGACTTGTGAATTTTATAACTGTGAGTTTTGGCGTTAATGCTTGTTTTATGAAAAAGTACTAAGGGATTAGGCTTTGGATTAGAATAAAGAATTAAATTACCAAGGGATTGGGATTTAGTTAATTATAGAAAGAGCTGTTAATAATTTAATCTTGAATGTAATCGTAAGAGTAAGCAAACTCGTTAAGAAACCATTGGGGAAGTTGAATCCTAACTACGCCTTTTTATTGAAAACTTAAATCAATTCCTTTTAGCTTTAATTAATTCTGAATTAAATTTCTAAAATATAAAAAAACCAAAAATAAGTTTATAAATTCTGTTTTTACTTTAATCACAATATTCTCAAGAAAACCTTTAATGATCGATCCAACTTTAATTAAATAAACAGATTATTGCTTGGTCATCAGTCCTCGTGGGATCGACAACTCTACTTTATCACTTTATTACTTATACGACCGGTGCACTTGCCGAGTTCGTCAACAAGAGCATCATGATATGTTACACTGACGTCGATACGGGACACGAGACACGTCACTCCGACACCTTAATTCTAAAAAATATTAGATATTAACACCTTATAATACGTTTTGATATTAAATAATATTTTTAAAATATGTAGTGCATATTATATTTAATATTCAAGAAATTTTTTTTTTGATAACAATATTAAAGAATTTAACAAAAAAAGAATAAAACTAAACTTATAATACCCATCAATTTCGTAAAGAAATATAAGATATTACAAATATTTATATTACACTCAATAAAATGACAATTGTAATCCATCGAATATAATAATTGGAACTGTAAGTGCAAGATAACACAACCTTTGAATCCTTGTTTGAGTCTCTATAATACGTGTTGGAAAGTGTCAGACATGGTACATCAAAATTTTTAAGATATCGTCACAAATAACATAAATTAGAAGGAAGGGAGAATTAGGAGAAATAAGAATATTTGAAATGAACACGGGAAGAGGGAAATTAGATAAACAATAAGAGAGAGGGTAGGAAAAAGAAGAGATAATTGGAATAAAGCCGGTAATTGCTTAACTCATTGATAAATCTTATAATTGATGGATTATTTATTTTATAGCCACTTATATTTTTTAATAGATCGCATAAAGGGTTTATAGTTTCTAAAGTTATTTTAAATAACTTTATCTAATGTTCTTCAAATTATACACATAAAAGTGTATGATGTCCATATTTTTTTTATTTTTTTCTCTTTATATGAGTTCATATGGACTCACATACTATTGTATGTGCATTTTAGTAAACATTAAATAAAATTATATAAAATATTTTTAGAAACTTTAAACCCTAAAATAAATTATCCAATAATATAATTTGAAATAAGATAATTAATACTACTGATAAAATAAGATAAGCCAGACTTATTAATTAAATTAAACCAATTAAGATAAAGATAAAAAAACCAAGATAAAATAAATAAATATAATTTAAACTCTACTAACTTGATCACAACAGTTGTTATAGTTTTTTTTTTTAAATAAACCACATATATTTTTCACATGAGACAATTCTATTCAAGCCGAGTATAAGATTAAAATTTTAAATTTTTTCCAAAAATATTACTGAAGATAATCAAATATATGTTCTCAACCTCACATGCTTCCATGAGCTACCAACAATTATTACAGTTTTAACTCTTCACAATTTAGGGTAAATGGAAAGTGTTGTTCACATATCCATTTAATTAGGTTTTGGTGAAAATAAATAAATAATATAAAACACAACTCTGATCGGATTGGATAATTCTGAATTAGATTTAAATCCATCAGAACAAATTCAAATTGGACGAGTCATTGGATTTTTATTTTTATTTTCAAAGCTGTCGACGATATTCAACAAGCTGATAAAAAGAAAGTATGAAACCAGAGCAAAAATCAAGCAATAGACAACGAATAGAAATCTGAAACACCCATGTGATTACGGAAGTGTTGCAAGTTCCAAGTTGTAGCTAATCTCAATTCTCAGCAACTTGGTCGTAGTTCAAATCCTCAAAAGTCAAAACACAGCACAACATATGTTTGGACAAAATAAGTTCCAAGTCTACGGGCCAGGTTCATAAATTATAAATCCCATAACATTAAAAGTCGAATTATAAATAATTTGATCATAAACTCTAATATCAAGTAAAAAGTTCGAATCCAACGTCTTATTTTTTTTAATAAAAAGTTAAATTTAAGAATAAAGTAAGCAATAAAATAAAATTATAGAACCATGCATTATTCTCACTTCAAAACTCAAATGATTCCATTTTATCAGGCAAAGGCACATATAATATTTTATATTACATTTTTTTTTTGTAAGTTCTTTTATATTATATTATTTCTTAACAGTTATATATCTATTTTAAAAATAAATCAATATAATTGGAATTTTCTTTTTAATTATGATAATGTAAAGAACCTTGAGATACACCACCCAAAAGTTAGCTCAAAGGGTGGGAGTGCCCAAGGCCTTATAAACTCCACATTAGTTGCACATACAACCAATGGGGACTATATATCTCAACACGCCCCTTCACACAAGAGCCCATTGAGCTTGAAGAGTGGACAATGCTACAGGCCCAGCCTACATGTGCTAAGAAACGCCACAAGAGAAAATGAGGAGTGGCGGCGAAAGGCTCTGATACCATGTAAAGAACTTTGAGATCACCACCCCAAAAGCTAGCTCAAGGGGTGGGAGTGTCCAAGGCCTTATAAACTCCACATTAGTTCCACATTAATTACATCAAATATTTACCAAAAAAAAATAATTACATTAAATCATACTATTTTAATGATGTAGAAAAAAGGAGATGCTTCCCGAGATAAATTGTTCAATATTTATTAATAGTTAGTTTCACAGTAAATGTAAGCAACATCCCGCAAGTGTTCAGTAATTTACCATGATTACCGGTGACAATGAAAATAAGATGAAATATTTTGATGATAATGAAAAAGAAATCTCTAAGCAAATAAAAAATCAAAATATTATATGGATAAAATGCAAGCAACATTTTCTTCAAAATACAGGTCAAGTTCCTTACCTTTCAAACCAACTTACTATCTTCGGTTAACCCTCCATTATAAAGCATTAAAGGATAAAGCAAAAGCAATTTTTTTTCCATTTCATCTCTCCTCAAATATGATATATTAATCCCTAGCATTAGGGTTTGAGTGTGTGTGAGAAAAATTAGACTCAAATTTGATCCTAATCATAACATTGTATCAATAAACAATAATCTGTTAGAATTTTTTTATCACCAAACGGCACACGGCAACTATGCCGCGGAATCTTTAACGAATATCCCCACAGTTGACAATGTTTCTTTCGTCATTGGATTGCTCGACCCATATCATCAAAAGCACTTTATTTTTTTCAACCAAAAAAAAAAAAAGAATACATCGTTATTTTTTTTTCTTTCTATTTTATCTATTTTTTGGTATAATTAGATCACAATATTAATCAAAACAGAGAGAGAAAATAAAAAAATAAAGGTCGGCAGATTTAAAAAATAAAGATAAAGATAATAAATATCCTATCCCAATAAAAAAAAAAATACTCGATATATATATATATATATATATTTTTATAAATATATCTGTTCTTCATCATAAAACACCTTAATCATAATCAGCAATCATAAAAAGGAGAAACATGTCTACTTCGGATTTGTGCCATTGAATAAGGCCGTAGGTTGTTTCATTAATTGAAGAAACAAGGCAAAGCCTCTTTCTGTCCTGTTTCATCTGTCTTTTTCAGGGGTTTTGCTTTCCTTTCCTTTGGGATATTTATATAAAAAAATTGCTGAAGAATCCAATTAAGCGATCTCAGAAGAGCTTTCTGGTACCCCGATTGGAAAAAGAATCGAACTTTAACATAGAGATGGAGAACGGTAGTGGGTCGCCGCAGGGTCCGGTTGCATGCGGGTCGTGGATTCGGAGGCCCGAGAAGCTCAACCTGGTGGTGTTGGGAAGGTGCAGGCGTGGGAGTTCTTGTCCTTCTCTGCTCCAGCTTTTCTCCTTTGACCCCAAGACCACTTCTTTGTCTACCTCCCCTCTGGTATTCCTCTGAATATTCATGCGTGTATATATATATATATGTGTGTGTGTACAGAATAATCATTTGAAAATTGAAATATTAATCTGTTTTGTGCATACCCTTTTTTATTTTCAGATGAAAAACTGTGGTTTTCTATATATGTGTGTGTTGACTTTGTAGAGTGAGCAATTTGAAACATGAATCGTTTTGTGCATACCCTTTCTGTTTTTAGCTGAAAAGCTTTTTCCCCCCCTTCAATCAGATGGTTGGGGGAAGTAGATATTATGCTCAAATTCTGTTATTGAAAAGTATTTTTTTAGTGTTGAGTTTCCGGGTTGCTGAATGGAAGCGAAGTTTGGATGGGGATTTGGTTTTAATGAGCGCTTTGTTGGATTGATCTTTCAGGCCACTTTTGTGTTAGAAGCAGAGGATGGAGATCCTGTTGCTATTGCAGTGCACCCTAGTGGGGATGATCTTGTATGCTCTTTAAGCAATGGTAGCTGCAAGTAAGCTTATTTTCTAAGAGTTTGGGGTTTAAACTTTGTTCTTCTATCTGAATCCATCCATTGAAATGTACTTCCATAATTTGTCTCAATGTTGCATTTCTTTAATTACCAGTTACTGCCACTTTCAATAAATATCAGAATCAGAAGTCCAACATTTTGTATTCGTTTAGCTATTTAAAGGACAATGGAAAACCTTAGGCTTAATTCTACTGAATTTCTTCCTGACAGTTTCTTGTTCATGTTTCTGGGAGCCAGGGGAATGTATGACATAATAGTTATAATTGTTTCTTACACGTAGTTAGCTGATATTTTATCATTGTGGCCTCCTGTGGACACTGAATTGAACATATAAATATTGAAGTATTTCTTCACGACTTGCAGATTGTTTGAGCTGCATGGTAGTGAAGCAAACATGAAACTGTTGGCCAAGGAATTGGCTCCTCTACAGGGTATTGCTCCTCAGAAATGCATAAGTTTTAGTGTTGATGGATCTAAATTTGCTGCTGGTGGGTTGGTAAGCATCACTCTACAATCTAACCAATTGCTTTTATTTTCTGTATGGCACTTTGAGTTATCCTTTTTGGAGTTCAATCCTGTATGTTTGACTTCTGTCCTTAACAAGTATAGGATGGACATCTCAGAATTATGGAGTGGCCTAGCATGCACATGATTTTGGATGAAGCAAGAGCACACAAATCTGTCCAGGATATGGATTTTAGGTACGAATACTAAAAAGGCCTCTGTGGATCCTGCTAAAAGATGCATTAATCCATGCAGCCAGTAGAATTGCAATAAATACTTGATGAAGTTGGTAACTAGAATAATCTTATTTGAAGTTCTTAACAACCAGATATGGATAATTTTGTTTTGCATGTTCATGCCTGCAATAATTTGAACTGTGTAGAGATGATTTTTAAGACAATAAAAGTATGGTTAAATAATAAATATCTTAATCCTAAAGCTGCAATGACATTAATACTTTCTATGTTGTCCTTCATTATGTTTCATAATTCAGTCTAGACTCAGAATTTCTAGCTTCAACTTCTATTGATGGTTCAGCAAGAATCTGGAAGGTTGCAGATGGTGCTCCTGTGACTACTTTATCTCGTAACTCGGTATAGTGTATTTAATTTAAAAACCCATGGCAAGATCTGTGTGCAGTCACTTGTACCACTTGATTCGAAGTTTTCTTTTTTGTCTCTTTAGGATGAAAAGATTGAATTATGTCGATTTTCCAAGGACGGAACCAAACCATTTTTGTTTTGCTCTGTTCAAAAAGGTATCAGAGATCTTATTTCAAGTATATTCTATTAATTTGTGCATAGTCTTTAAATCTCTTTTGAACAAGAATTCATGTCCTTCATCAGAGATACTTCTATCCTTGAGCAGGTGATAAGTCTCTCACTGCAGTTTATGACATGAGCAATTGGAACAAAATCGGCCATAAGAAGATGCTTAAAAAGTCTGCTTCAGTAATGTCCATTAGCCATGATGGGAAATACCTTTCTCTGTAAGAACTTACTGTTACCTTCTGACTTTTCCTGCTTATGCATGCTCACCACTCTTCCTTTATCTTTTGTCAGTTTCAATTTCCAATCAAGGTTGTTGAATCGCAATACGTATCGTATATCGTTTGTCTCTTTTTTGTTTAGTGTATCATGAATCGTATTGAATCTTAAAATTCAGAAATATAATAAAAATAATTTAAAAATATAAATTATATTCTAAGCCTTTAATTTCTCTCCTTTTGTTTGTATTGTAGCTCTTTGAAAACCCCTCTTAAGAGATTCTGTTTTCTTGTGCTTATGCCTCTTTTTTTAGATTTGTATCTGTTTTTTTTTTTTTTTTTTTTAAAGACTGAAGAGATGTGTACCAATATGAATATTTTTTTGATTTTTTCCCCTAATTAATAGTTTGTTTCCATATTCATTTTTGAATCACAAATTATTTCTGTTTCATTTCCCTAATTAATAGTGACTTTTCAGATTTATTTTGAATTGAAAATCGGAAATCCTGATTTGATTTTTGAATCGTAAATTATAATACGAGACACGATTCGATACTGAATCGTATGATACATCGATTCACGGTCACCAATTCCAATATAGGCAACCGATTCATATCGCTCAGCTTCTGTATCATATCATACGTACCGTGTATCGTGTGATACTAACAATTATGTTTTCAATATTTATCCAGATAGTTTCTACGACTGTTGCAAGTGAATGATTTGGAATTTCTATTTCTTTTGTTTTGGCGAATAGAATTTCTGTTCAATTGTGTTCTGTTTTGCTCAGAGTTGGCATGGTAAAGGGAATGCTTGTTGGTTCCCTCCCCCCATCCATGCATTATCTGACATGGGAAGGCGAATATCCCAATCTAAAATTGTTGGAGAGTTGATTGCAGTCTGATTAACTTGTTAAAATTTATTATTTCATTTTTTTAAAAGTATTGTTTGTCAGCTTGATCATATTTCTTTTCAGAATCGTGATAACCTTTTTATAACTCATCAACATAGGTTTTGGATATTCACAATGCAACAACATTAGATGTTCAACTGATGCAGGGGAGAATGATGATTTCTCTAGAAGAGTTGTGATCTACTTGTTTAAATATCATTTTGGCACATTAGGGTAGAGGATGGAGCAATGACTGTAATTTTTTCCCCACAAAACAGCATTACCTAAACTTACATATCTTATTTTTATTTTTTATTCTAAGTTATTTAGTTTTTGCTTTCAGTTCAAGTAGTAGCTTGTTACTTTTTTTTTGGGTGGTGTGAGTGGGGAAGTTTAACTGTTGAGATAAGAGCAAATGATCGTTTGTCTTAAAACTGTTATAAAAAGTTTAAATATGTTGTGGCGAAATATATATAATGGTGTCTGTGGCACATCAGCTACAAAATTACTATAATATTATGATTAAAAATATTTTAAGGCCTGTAAACTTGTGAAGTGATTGGCACTTTACTTGTATGCCACATTACTGCCTGTAATATATGTCTCCAGCATTTCTTCAGCTCATGAGACTTCTATAATTTCAGGGCCAGTAAAGATGGAGACATCTGTGTAGTTGAAGTAAAGAAAATGCAGATACACCATTATAGCAAGAGACTACACCTGGGTACACCTATTGCATCGCTTGAGTTCTGTCCCACTGAAAGGTAAATTCTCCATGCACTATTTGTTTAATTTGGCACCTTTGTGATAGATATTAATCATAATGAAGGCAAAGAGGGAAACCCGAGAATTGAAGGCAAGCCACAGCTAGCGTGGGTGGAAGATTTGACCATTGTGTGTCAATCCTCATTGGCTGCATAGGGCAGTTTTAGCGAAAACGTAAATATTAGAAAGAAAACTTCCCCTAGCCTTATGATACTTGCAAAACAAAAATTTGGAAGCTAAGGATAATCTGTTAACTAACAAAAAGACAAATGGTTTCATAAAGAAGTAAGTGATTTGCAATAATATAAGTATGCTCTATCAACTGTTACAAAATCAGTTATGTACCCTGTGTCTCTACACTTGTTTCTTGTTTTTAGCTCCGCATTTTTCTTTTGAATTGCTGAAATGAGTTTCTGTCTCTCTCAAATTTCTTGTGCTTAATGTAAAACAGAGTCCTTTTATTTTCGTCAGTGATTTTGGAATTCCTGGATCCTATATTTAGAAGCTATGCATTTAGGGAACATTGGGCGGATGGAAGACGTAGCTATGCATGATAAGTGGCACCGAAAATAAGTCATTTTTTGACTTCAGCTGTAGTTTGAGAAATTAAGGTAAATCAAACAAAAGCCAAGAATCACATAAATCATATATGCTAAGAAAGGAATGCAAAAGACTTGATGGAAATCATGACTGTAGATAAATATTTAATGTCACAATCCTGATTACTTTTGAACAAGGTACAGTCTAACTTACACATTACAGCTGAGATGGATCAAATATAAGTTACGCTTCCCCTATGACCATGATTAATATATTAGCAATGAGTATTTTTTTTTTCCCTTCAGATCATTAGCCTGAGTAAATTTGCTTTTTTGAAATTGAACCATGGTCGTGTCAAAAGCTTAAGCCGTTGATGAAGGCATAAGAATGATATTTTATTTATAAATCATATCTAGCACACCTTTGCCTTTTGGACTTGAAGTCTGATTGGATGGTCAGAGGCAGTAATATCATTCCCCACAGATATTCATGTTATTAGCCTAATAAATACTTTCTTTTGGTCTTGACTATTCACCTGTGCTTTCATTGTTTCTATGCAGGGTTGTACTTACAACCTCAGTAGAATGGGGAGCTCTGGTCACTAAACTGACTGTCCCTAAAGATTGGAAAGGTTCTCTCTCTTTCTCTCTCTCTCTCTCTTACTCACATGCACGCGCGCTCACACGCACACACCCTTCGCTTGTGAGGCCATGCAGTAATGATTACTCAATTTGACATTTTGAATATCCTGTCAAACATGCAGAGTGGCAGATCTACTTGGTGCTTTTAGGACTATTTTTAGCATCAGCTGTTGTATTTTACATATTCTTTGAGAACTCTGATTCGTTCTGGAACTTTCCCTCTGCAAGACCAAAGTTTATTAAACCAATGATCAAAGATCCTCAGTCTTATGATGATCAAAATAGTTGGGGACCAGTTGATATGTGACAACGTTGACATTCTTGATTTGGTCTTCAATGCTGTTGGAAGCAGTATCAACATTCATCTCAGGACTTGTAGATTTAGGATGTTGACTGGTATTAAGAGCAATTACTCTCTTTTTTTTTTTTTTTATTGGGTGAAAATTTTGAACCTTAAAGATCATTATTTAAATGTAATTTCAGTAGAAAACTTTAGGAATAATCAAATTGCTTCCTGAAATTTACAAGTTACACTTTAGGCTTCGTTGTGCGATGTGATGGGATTTTGGCACATCTTTGGATATCTTTCCATATTCCTTATTTTTATTTCTTGTTTTTAATTGATAGTCTCTTGCATTTGTTGTATGCTTTTGATTGGAGAGAAAAGGAGGGTAAGCCTCTGAATCAAATTATAATGTTAAGAAAATGTGTTGTTTTCATCGTCTATGGCTTTACATTCAATAAGAAACGCCGGGAACACAACATGGACCAAATTAATTAATCAAAATTTTGTCACCCAATCATTTAAGCCAAGCCAAGTAATGAAGATCGTAGAGAGAAAGATTCAATTTTAAGGTTCTGCGAGGGCATACGATTAAAATTGGAATAATTCCAAAAGTTCAATTTTTCAATGCGGATTCAGGATTTTTTTATAGTAGGAGTGAAAATAAAATATTAAAATTATATTATTAAGATTAATAAGAGATATTATTAATAATTCCAGCCACCTCCACTGGGAAGAGCATACTACACAACCTTGTTAACCACATCCTCGTGATCAGGAGGGGAAATAGCTAAAGTAAGAAGGTTTTGGTAATCTCCAATCCAGTTATCATTTTACAGAGTTGCCATCCCCAATCTGCCAAACCAGGGAGTTCATAGCAGTCGGCCAGATTTTGCAAATACTTCTCCAGAGGTGGGAGTCATAAGGTTTGCAGCAAATCTCTTTTGTGAGGTCCATCTTCCTACCATATTTAGCTATTAGAACACATGCCCACAGTTGAGAGGGAGACAGAAGCAGATTCCACATTAATTTATGGAAAAAGCTTAATTATGATTCCTTATGTTAATTATACCCAACCCACCATATTCTTTAGGGAGGCTTAATTGATCTCAGGAGATTAAATGGTGTCTTCTATGATTTTCAGAATCTCCCCAAATGAATTCTCAATTTCATCACACATACCAACATGAATGAGACTATTCTGCGTATGGAACATTGGTATAGGCGTATAGCTGAGATAACAGACTTAGAGAAAATAACTCTCCCAGCCATGGGCAAGTACTATCTTTTCCAGCCTTGAAGCCTATTATGGACCCTATCCATAATGTCACTATAGTGGCTTTTAAGGGTTCTGTCATGTTTCATCATATAACCAAGATATCTACCAATGTTCCTTGTATGAGCAAAACCACACTGTTTGACAATATCACCAGCAAGGGTCTCCGAAACATTTTTAGAGAAAAAAATGTTAGACTTCAAAGAGCTAACCTTTTGCCTAGAGATGTCACCAAACAAGGAGAGAATAGACATAATGGCGGTGATTTGCTCAATATTTGCTTTTGCAAAGAGCATGAGATCATCTGCGAACAAGAGATGAGAGATTTTGGGCCCTCCTTTACCCATTGTCATAGGCTTCCAATCTTTTTTACCACTGCATCAGCAATTAAGTGGGACAATTTCTCCAAAAAAATATGTAAGGGGAAATGGGGCTCCTTGCCGAAGGCCTCTACTAGGAGAAATAGAACCAGCCTTAGATCTATTCCACAAAATTTCAAGCTTAGTGGAAGTAATGCAGTGCATGGTGATATTTATCAAGTAGGCTGGAGATTTATTTCTAATAGAACATTGTGAATAAAGCTCCAAGAAATGCGATCATAAGCTTCTCCAGATCAATTTTAATAGCAAAAAAGCCTCTTTCCACTCGCATTGTACTCATAGAGTGAACCATCTCTTGGGCAATGACTATGTTGTCTTGGATTTGTCTATTGGGAATAAAACTCACTTCATGAGGGGAAATAAGCTTTTGCAGAAGAGGCTTTAGCTTGCGGACTATAATTTTGTTTATTCCCTTGTAGAGGACAGAACATAAAGCAATTGGTCTGAACTGAGAAATTCTCTCCGATTTTTTTCAGCTTAGGGATTAGAACAAGCAGGGTCTAATTAATGTCTTTAGTATTAGTGGGGTTGTTTTACAAAAAGTTGACAAAATCACAAGTTTGTTGCCCGACCAGATTCCAATTCCTTTGAAAAAAGAGCGTCGGGTAACCATCAGGGCCAAGAGCCTTCAAAGCACCCATATCGAAATAAGCAGCCTTAATATCCTTGTTAGAAATGCTCTGATTCAATAAAACAAGCTCAGAGTTCTCAATAGAAGGTCAATTGGAGCTGGTGACATGCCAAAGTCTTTCAGGGACTTCTTCTGTGAACAAGGCAACATAAAAAGAGTGAATTAATTTTATCAGATTAGCCCCATCTCTTACAAAGTGCCCCTTATCATTCTCAAGCTCCACAATTTTGTTCTTAGCCCTTCTAATGATAGTGGCAGTGTGATAGAATCTTGTATTTCTATAACTATAAGCAATCCACTTACATATGACTTTTTGGAACCACAAAGCCTCTTCTTGGTGAAGAACAAGATTCAGCTTCTCTTGAATTCTAATTTCACGGCTGGACAGATCATCATCAAAGAGGTTTGAAAGATTGAGTTGAGTGACTGAAAGCTTTTTCAGAAGTTAATCTTTCTTAACATGGATGATGCCAAAGACTTCTTTATTCTAGGATTGGATGGGCTTAATTAAATTAGTGAGGGAAGTACTAATTTTGGAGTTCAGGCACCGAGCATTGTTGAGAAAGTGGGGGAAAGTTTCATGGTATTGCCAAGTAGCCACGAATCTGAAAGGTCTTTCTCATCAAGCTTTATCAAAAGGGAGAAGAGAGATCAAAAAAGGGTTATGGTCAGAGTTGAGTCTAGGCAACACTCTCACAGAGGCTTCATCAAAGGTGGTTCTCCAATCAGCATTAGCACAAACACGACCCAGTCTCTTGTAGACTCTATCCAAGTGCAGCCATTTGGACCCTCTCCAAGTGAAATTAGGCCCCAAGCAGCCAAGGTCCATCACCTTGCAATCATTAAGAATAGTAGCAAACTTGTTGCATCTATTAAGGTTAACAGAAACACCCCCTTTTTCCTCTTTGGCAGAAGCTATCTCGTTGAAGTCACCTATTATCACCCAAGGACCAGTCATATTATTACTAATTCTAATCACACCTGGCTAAAGGTTATCACAAGCATCTTCTTTGGGATTGGCTTAAATAACAATTAGGAAGAAGGTTTCTCTGGAGGAGCAAGAGCAAGAACAATGGATAAATTGAGTGCTCTTTTCAATTACAGAGATATTGCACTACTCCTCTTTCCAAAGAATCCAAATACCCCCAGCAAAACTAATAGCATCTTCGACTATGGAGTTCTTAAAACCAAGTTATTTTATTTTCTTCAAGGCCATACTACCAGTAATTCTAGGTTCAAGAATGACAACAAGGCCAATCTTGTGATTCTTGACAAAATTGCAAAGGGTGGTTTTAAAAGATTTTTTGGTAGCACCCGTAGAATTTCAGACAAAACAATTCATTAGATACTAGTAGTTTGTCCAGGATTACTAAGTTCTTGATTACTTTCATCCATAGGTTCATCGATTGTCCCACTGCAGGGTTGTTCTGTTTCTATCTTCTTAATTTCATTTGTAAAAATGGGATCAGCATCCAAGACAAAAAATTATAATAAAAAATAAAATCACTTGAAATTTAAATAAAAATATTTTGAATTTTTTTTCATAAAAACGTAAAAACATTAGTTTTTAACTTCCTGGTGTACAGACAAATGAATTTTGATGTGTATGTCAATTATATTTGTTTTGTGTATTTTTTCATGTGAAGATATTTTTTTAGTACTTTTTGGCGTAGGAATCTCCAAGCAATGATGCAACCTTTATTTTCCTGGAAAAGTTTGCCCTACTGTTCACAACTAATTAAAAGCAGTTAATAAGTCATGAATGGGCCAGCGGTAAGTAATTTAAATACTTGCAAAAAGGTTATATATTCAAATTTTCATGTCAACATTATAAAGAAAAAAAAAAGTCCTTAGGAATATAACTGTATTAAAATTTGATAGCAAAATTTTTGCCATAAATATGATCTTATTGGCTTGAATAACCAATAGATAATAATAAAAAAAAAAAATACTTGCAAAGTGTTAGTATCCTCATCGTATAATTTTTCTCATCCAATAATTTATTTTATTATATAGACAAATTAATTATTAAAACTACACAGTTACAAGAATCATTCAAATTTGATTAAGAAAAAAAAACTCTACACGTACGATCTAATAGATGAATTAGTAAAAATAAATTAACCGGCCCCTGCAAATGTAAAAAGGGAGCATAGAGTGTGAAAAAAGGGTGTTGTCTTTTTGTTGACACAAAAAGAAAAAAAGTGAGAGTAAAAGAAGAGAAGAAAAGAAAATATCAAGGCATCTTAGATCACAACCACAACAGTTGACAACAAAATAACAACAACACAACACAAACTGAACTGAAGTTGCTCAACACACTGCTCAGAATTTTCTTCCAATCATGAACTGTCTTCAGAATCTTCCTCGGTTCGTTTTTTTTTTTTTTTTTTTTTTGTTTTCGAATGTTGTCCTAAACGAATCGGATTCCTGATTACCCTCTCTCTCTCTCTCTCTCTCTCTCTCTCTCCAGATCCTCTGCTTTGGCCTTACAAACAGTTGTTACGCGCCATCACAAGAACCCTCCTTTTTCTGCTCTTTCTTTGGTACCTCTCTTTCTCTGCACGCTTAGAGCGCATTTTCCATGTTAATGCGTTAATGGGTATGTAAAATTCTCCATTTTTTTATAATTTTTTTTTTAAATGGTGTATACAGGGAATCATCAACAATTCTCGTCGAAATCGAAGTATGACACTTAAGGTAACTTTAAGGTTTACTTTTCCATTCCTTTTTTTTTATATTATATTTTTATTTATTTTTTATCTTGATGACGGTTTTGTTAATTCTATGATATTGGTTGTCCTTTGGAGTTCATTATCAATAATGGGTTGGTGGTGCCAATCTATTAAAACTTCATAAGCTTTTAGAAAATTGATAATGTCGGTGCAACTTAAATATGATTATAGGATTGGTTTTTGGTTGCTTAATAGGATAGTCTTAAAGCTTATGAGCTGGAATAGTGAGACGACCTGTGAGTGTTCATGGCATATTCTGAAATCTGCCACAATCAATGATGGTGATGGAATTTCAAAGTTAAACAATTTTTTCTGTTTGGTGCATGCACTGGGTGATCAAAAATAAATATAAAGAAAACCAGGAGATATCACTATAGAAGTAATTAAAAGCTAAAAAGAGGAATGTCATTTGTTACTTTTGTGTCTAGTCCCTGCCAAATATTTGTGCTCATTTAGGTTTGATTATGTAAGTAGGAATATCAGTATCCGCTATTTGTGTCCTTTCTGCTTCATATTTCTTGTGTTTTCTAGAAAACATGATTGGTATTTTCTTTTGCAGTCTGCTTCTGGTTCTATACCTAGTGCAGAGACGAGTAGTGCCGATATGGAGGAGGAAAAGTCTGAGACATATAGTAGTAACATGACAGAAGCCATGGGTGCTGGTATGTTTAATCACTTTTTGGTTCTAGTCCAACAACAACCAAGCCTTATCCCGCTAGGTGGGATTGGCTACATTGAACAAACAATGTCATTGTGCTCGAACAAAAACCATAATTTCGATATAAATCCATTTAGTGTAAGGTCTTTTATAATGGTTTCTCCTTAAGTTTTCTCCGGCATTCCTTTGCCTCTTTGAATTAGACTATCTTCCATTTGATATACTTTTCTCAATTCTGTTGGTTTTTTCCTGCTTTCTGGTTATAGGTTGAATAAGAAAAAACTTGGAAGACAATTCGGAGGAAAAAGATTGTCTTTTGCTTGAAGCTTCATGTTTAATTGCAATTCCTCTTTTTTGGTATACGGTGATAAAATATTTCAAATTATTGGAATAAACCTTCATTTTGTTTGCCAAGATTAATTCTATTAGCCTTAGGTTTGTAATTTTTGTATTCAGCCAATAGTTTGGATTAACCAAAGGATCACTCCTGTCATGCTCATCCTATTCTTTTGCTCTTTAAACATTTATTGTTGTTAACCCTTTCTAACAAAGTGCTATACAGTTTTGACTTATAGGCATGAATTAGGAATGAACTACAACTTTATCCGTCCAGACTTGATTGTGGGATCATGCCTACAGGTATTTTTGTTTCAGTAATGAATACATGATCCAATACTGTCAAATCTAGTTTGGTCCTCTGACTTCTTTTATTTTTATCGTAAATTATCAGACTCCTAAAGATGTTGACAAGCTGCGTAGAATCGGAGTGAAAACTATATTTTGCTTGCAGCAAAATTCAGACCTAGAGTATCCTAAACAATTTGTTTAATAAGGTTCGCTTTCAGCATTTGAGACAAATACCTCTATTTGATCTAACAAACAAAACCGTTATGTTCTTTACAACTACTTAGATATTTCGGAGTTGATATCAATGCCATACGAGAATATGCCGAGACTTGCAATGACATTCAACACTTGCGTGCTGAGATAAGGTTAGTTATGGCATGACATTTTTGTATTATAACTGTTGAAGAAATTATTGGGTTTAAATTTGGAAGGAGTAAAAGAGACAAAGTAGGCTCTGAATAATATTAGATTGATATGGTGTGTTGATAATTTGATGCAAAATACTAACTCAATGGTCCTATCTATACTAATAACAAGGTCAAGTTATAGTATAGTATTACTAGTACAAGCCCAAGAAGACCAATAATGCAGAAATACTACTATCCCCAACCAAGATGGCTTCCTCAATTAGATGACTAATAGATTCCACAATATATTCTAAAGATGTTTTAAGATATTCTAAAATATTTCAAAATGTTCTAAGATATAATAAAGATGTTATAAGATCTTAAAGATATTTTAGCAATAAGATCACGAGGAAATCGGTTGTGAACTCAAATTGACATGAATTATTGATATTAAATGTTAATGTTAAGTTGTATGCTATGGAATCCTTCTTTAAAAATGTAGCTAGAATAATTCCTGCACAAAAATCTGTTACTTTGTTGTATTTTCTAAATTTATTTTACTTCTTACAGTTCATGGATATACCAAAGAATCAATTTGGATGAAGTTATCGTGTTGCTATATTTTTTTATGTGATTCAGTAGGACTGAGGTGCAATTACTATGTTAGCTTTCTCACAATTATGTATTGTTCGGTATCTTCAGTTATGGTTTAAGTCATATTCTACCTACTCGTTATTTTTATGGTAGTGAGCTGTATCTATTTTTTTTCCAGTAATCTTGAACTGTATCTATTTGATTTAGGAACTACTTTGTAGCAAAACTACCTCGAATATGGTAATGGTATGTTGTTTTTGTATGGGTAAGGCCATTGATGCATGATCCTGCTTGCAATGTGTAGCTTGTTGGAGATAAGGTCCTGGTTTTTCATCTGGGTTTTGAGTTAGTTTGTTATTAATACTAGTCCTAATTCTGTATTGTAAATACTCAATGAAATATGAAGTTGTCAGAGGAGCATTTGTTGTTGATTATATAAACCTACAAATAGTTATAAATTTTTATGATGCATTTCTTTGAATGTCCTATCATATGAAAACTAAATTCTTCATTTCTCTTTTTCCCCCTCAAACAGATACTAGTTTTATGTTTTTGTAGCTTCCTCCCAAATACTCTTAATCTTACAGACAAAACTGAGAACGTTCTTTAAATTGATTATCAAAAGGGGATTTGTCAGTTTTGAAGATTTGGGCTGTGAATGAGCCAAAATGTCATGCAAATAGGATGGTTCTTTGTGGTTTTTTGGGTAAGACTAGTTGGTAATGTCACCTTGCATATATAGTTCCTAATTTCCTAATAGTCTAAGGGCTCGTTTGGATGAGCTTTTTTTTTTTTAAAAGCTGCTTTTTTTCTTGAAAAAAAGCACTTCTCAGTTTTAGTTCATTTGGATGTTTGCTTTTAAAAAAAGTAGAAGTCACAAAAAAAGTCAAAAACCTACTTTTTCCAGAAGCTAAAAATTTTAACTTCTAAAAAAAGCAGAAGTCAAAAGCCAAATATTTTTTTTCAAAAACTAAATATTTTTATAAAAATATAAATAACTCTAACTTTTATAAAAAGAACTTCTGAAATAAGGAAGAGATAAAAGTTACTTTTTTCAGAAGTGTAAACAAACAAGCTCTAATACCTATGGGTAAATGAACATTTGTACATTCTGTGTAATTACTAGTATTTCTGTTTACTCATGATATATGTAACTAAACAGTGATATCTTCTGCATTATACATTCTGGTGCCTTTGTATGTTATGCTTCTTCATATTATATGATGATCTAACATAGATTTAGCAGGGACTTTGATGCATATGATTTACGGATGCGGCTTCCAGCTGTAGTTAGAAAATTATACAAGGCAATAAATTCCAATGGAGGTGTGACATATGTTCATTGCACTGCTGGACTTGGAAGAGCTCCAGCTGTTGCGGTATGTCTCTTGGTTCCATTTCTGATATACATGTTACTCCCATAAATATTCAACCTGAAATGTTTTGGATTGATTTTGGGTATACTAAGAAATAATTAAAGGACTGGTGCTGAATGTATTCAGTGACCTCTCACACAATGAATGGTTTCAGTGGCCTTTCACTTAAATATGTTGATACAAAGGAAACTCCCCTAAATCATTTTCAATGCTGAAACTTTTCATTATCATCACTCAAGAGTTTTCAAACAGGCCTATAGATCAAACTTAATTTAGCGCAACAGTAAGGTTGTTGTTGCCTTGTGATGTGGTGGTCACAAGTTCTAGTCATTGAAACAGACTCTCCACTCATGGTTAAGGTTACTTGCATCTGACCCTCCCCATACGCCACAGTACTGGGAGCCTCATGCAATTGAGTTTAGTTGATATGGCTTGGGTGCATGCCATTCGGTTGTATTCACTCCGAATTTCATCTACAGTGTTCCCGAAGCTAGCCTTGTTTATATAGAGAGAAATGGTAGAAAAGAAATCCTAAAATTGATATTTTCTTATTTTCTCAATAGATAAGTCTAAACATAGAATGCGAGCTTTGTGGACTGTATATTCATTATTACTTTACGTCGTAGAAGTTTATAATTATGTTGATCAATAGAAAGAAAACCTTAGATAAGGGAAAATTGATTATCCTAATCCATTAAAACTACCATGAAGATAGAGATGAACAAGTTAGTGGGGTCTAATTTTCCTTTCTCAAATACGTTGGCATGTCATGCATTGTGATATATCTGTTTTGTAACTCAGCTACATTTCAAATGATATATATATATATATATATATATATATATATATATATATATATATCGTTTGATCTCCATGGTCATTTACTAACTGTTTGTTTTGTCTCAGTTGGCATATATGTTTTGGGTTCTGGGTTATAAACTTAATGATGGTCATACACTACTTCAGGTAACTTTACTCAATACTTCTTTTTTATTGTTTTGCATATTAAGTGGGTTGGGGTTCTTGGTAGATAATATACTGCATGGTTTTTGTACTCCTAATTGCTTGGATTAAAACTTAAAAGTGATTCTTTCATTGTTGTTTTTTTCTTAAGGGTTTTTGACTCAAGTTTATTTTAGGCTTGGTAAACCTATTTGTTCCATTAATTTCCCTAACTCAAAAGCAACTCAAATTGAGTTTACAGCATTTGTAATTTTTATGCATCATGATTGTGGAGCAATTGCCAATTCTACAACAGTTATAGTTGAATCACTATTACATTGGAACGTGATAAGTTTCCAACCTTAGTTATTTGTCAATTATGGTGCTGGGCAGTGTACGTATGATAGATTGATCTCCTCACATCCAGTTTACCAGCATTCTTATTCAATATTTTATTTTCATGGGTTCTTACTCAAAATTGTGGTGTATTTTCTGATTATTTATACATTAAGAAATTAATTTAATATCATTTCCTTTTTCTGTATGTCTTAGAATTGTCATTCCAGCAGTTTGATGGTTATAATTCTTGTGAATCAGTTTCAAATGCAATTGGTCTAAAGAGGGAAATGAGATTGAAGTATTGTTTGGTTTTCTTGAATTTTTTGTTCTTGTAGAGCAAAAGGTCGTGCTTTCCAAAACTTGATGCCATAAAAAGTGCAACGGCTGATATTGTGAGTCAATTCGTTTTTCTACATTTATGTCTATGCTTTACAATTTTTATGTGATAGCTTTTTTTATTATTCCATTACAGGTGTGAAAAGTTCAAGGTGATAATTTAATTTATTCTGTTCTTCATTTTGTTTTTGATCTTTTTATTGGACAAGCATGCTTTTAGTTCATCTTTTTTTTTTCTTTTTCTTTTTTCTTTTTTTAAATCTAACCTTGGAAGTGCTTTTCTCTATCAACTATTGTAATCATCCCATTGTCCTGCATATGACTCAGCTTTCCCATTAAGATCATGTATTCAAAACTCACCTTGTTTCTATCATCTTTTGTTTCACACAATTTTTAAGTAGGGATTAGGCAGACTTATTACCTGCTGTTAATGATTTAAACAGAGAAAATATCTACAACAATGAGTTGTTGCGGAGACATGAAAATATGAGATTTGGGGAGGGGGTATTGTTGCGACTCGGCAAGTGCACCGGTCGTTAAGTAATAAAAGTGTACTGAAGTACGAGATCGTTCCCACGAAGATCGGATTTTCAAACACTAGTTCGCTAATCGCTATTTAGTTGGACAATCAAGAATTGGATTTAAGAGAATTTAAATTGAAAAGAAAACAGTCAATAACATGCAAATTAAAATTCAGAATTAAAAAGACAATTGAAAAAGATGATGATTGATTAAGAATTTAAAACAAGCGTAGTTAAGGTTTCGACTTCCCCCATTCTCCTCGATATGCAATGAATTAAATTGTCAAGAATCAGTTCTTAATATAATGTCAATCAATTCTTTCTAAGTTAATTAGGGCTCAATTCCTTGTTACCCTAAATCTATGTGATCTTGAAAGAACTCTAGTTCCCCGATCATTCCTCAAGAAAACATGCATTAAGATCAAGAATTTAAAGATTGCACAATTACCCTATGTCTATCCCTAGATCACAAGGATTATGATAAATTTATCAAGTCAGGGTTCATGCACCAACATCCCTATTGTCATATAATTCTCCTAAATCAATCTATAAGGAGCAAACTCATAGAAAGCATTAAAGACAGATAAATTATTCAATTATAAAAAGAAAAGAATTCAAGAACAATTTAATTCAAGACATACGATTCAATTGGGTTCCATCTACCCTTAACTACATAAAAGTTTAGCCTAGCATACTGAATTGAAAAACAGTAGTAAAGAAAAGAGGACCTCAAGCCTCCATTGGTGTGATGTTGACTTGGTTCCTCAGTGTTCCAACGCTCCGCAACAGGATTCCTCCCTCAAGTCTCTGTGTAATTCTCTGGTGTGCCTGTGAAGTGGTGTATTTCCTTGACCCTCTGCTCCTTATTTATAACTATTGAAGCCATATCTTTTTAATCCTCCATCCAATCTCCCCATGAATCTATATCAATTAATAAATCAAGATTGATTTGTTTCCACTTTCATTCCAAATATTACAAATCTGTATCAACTGGCAAATCAAATCAAACCTTGGGCTGATTGGATTCGTATTTGGGCGCTCAAGCGGCTACAGGGCGCTTGAGCGTCCACCTGTGCGCTCGAGCGTGCTCCTCGGTGGTAAATTCATGTAATCTTGGGCGCTTAAGCGTGCTAATGGGCGCTTGAGCGTCCTGGATTGCTCAATTTAGCTGTTTTCCCTGCCTGGACGCGCTCGAGCATCCATTTTGTGCGCTCGAGCGTGCTCTTCTGGCTCTTGACTTGTAGTATTTTCGCTTCCTTTGATCTATATTGAGCTGCAACTCTTTGTCTTGATTTCTTCATCACTTCTTAGCACCAATAAGTGTGGTTTTACCTTCAAATTACAAAGAAAATCAAGACGTTAGCCCAAATTCCTATCTTATGATTTATATGTTGTAAAACCTTGAATTCCATGCAATCTACTATATAATTCTTGTATAATTTAGCCTAAAAACATGGTAAACCAAAGTTTTATCAGGTATGTAGGGTGATGCATATTCTCAAAAAATCACTATATTGGAGAATTGGATAACATTGGAATTTGGAAGCTAGTTTGTTAGAGTAACTTTTTACGGGGCTGGGCATACTATTATGTTCCTGTTTAGGAAATTGGATGAGCATAAGAGGAGGAACAACATGGAGATGGTAATGGAGGATGAATATTTAAAAAATTCAACTGCATGCCATAATTCTAGCCACGATAAGTACTTTGGAATATTTAATGGAAATATGTTCGTGTCATATATACTGATTTATTTTAATCATATCAGTGACCATTATTTATTTTTGGTACTTAAAGCTTACAGGCCTCAGTAAAAAGCATGTCACTTTGTCATGGGAAAACAACAATTGCTCTACAGTGGAAATTTCAGGACTTGATATTGGATGGGGGCAGGTGATGATTGGGCCTTCTTGTTTAGATTTTAAAAAATGTCTCAGTTCCTTTTTTATAGAAAGGGTAATGATGCTGCATTACAAGGAGATATATCATCATATGGCATCGTCTCATCAACTCGTTGATTCAGTTACAAATTACAATCATTTATCATGTTTGCACGTATAGTATTTGGTTTTCTGTTGGGATTTTTGGGTAGTATAGCCTTTATCTTAGATAATATTTTAAAAGTATCATTTGCAATGTAGCTTTTGGTTCTTGTTAGTGTGACTGTGTCTTGAGAGTCCTTTTGATAATTTTAGAGTAAAGTTCACCAATGCCCTTGTGGTTTGCTTCAGAATCACCTATGTTCATGTGATTTTTTTTTTTATCAGATATACCCCTGTGCTTTGTAAAAAATAAAAAACCACAGGGGCATATGTGATAGAAAAAAAATCACAGGGGCATAGGTGATTTTGAAGTAAACCATAGGGGCATTGGTGAACTTTTTCCATAATTTTAATCAGAGGTGGCTGATCTTTCAGTTTCAAAATATTTGAGAAGGAAAAAATGTGCTGCCATTGCATCCCTGACTACTTCTGACATCTTGCCAACATGATCTGCTCAAAAGATGATTTGAAGTGTCATTTCAGATTCAAAATCTTTTGATCTTTAAAATAATCTGAATTTTGTAATTTGACTTATTTGTTATGTTTTGAACACATGCTTATAGGCTAACTAAATCACTAATTTCTAGATTCATTTTTATAGGCTCACTAAATCATGTATTTACAGTAATTAGGGTATCTCTTATCTTTGTAATTATTTGTTTTTAACACAGTCTATGCTGCGTATAGCCCAGTACACGGATTTCAATGAATTTTTCTGTTTTCTCTTCCATGAACAGATATAATTTCATGCTAAACCTTTACTCAATATACCTTGGTCCCTTTTTCAGAGAGTGCCCCTAGATTTTGATGACAGACGGGGTTTGTGGTTTCTCAAAAGGGAATTGCCTGTAAGTGCTTTTCACTTGTTAAAACTGTGCACTTATTAGTTTAAAGTTTGGTCTTATATTGATGAATGATCAAATAACCTGAGATCTGATCACAGGCTGTGTTTAAAAAACAATACATTGGGACAAAAACCTTTTTCTACTTGAGAATCAATTTTCTTCTTGTTGTATTTGCCAGGAAGGACGCTACGAGTACAAGTACATTGTTGATGGGGAATGGACATGCAATAAGGATGAGCTCTTAACCTCTCCCAACAAAGACGGCCATGTCAACAATTTTGTGCAAGTAAGTTTGAAGTTTCAACTACTTGGCTCTAACTTCTTACAGCTTTTTTTGTTGTTGTTTGTTATCGATTAGTCCAATCTGAGTCGGGTAGAACCAAATAGGCGGAAAGCTCTCCCTACAAGTTTTAACACAGCTGTGTTCCCTGAGACTCGAACTCAAGATCACTGATTAAGCTGGAACAACTTCTACAACTTTGAATCCTAGGAAATTGCTAGAGGCTCGAAGCTAGAATCTGTACTTGAGAATTAGTTCAAATATAAAATACAATGTAACACACAACATATATTGCTCACAATCATGGTGATAACTTAAAGCCTCACAATTGCGAGGAATTTCGCAGCACATCAAATTATTTTACCATGTGATTATAATTGTGTCCATTATTCATTTAAAGTCATTAGAAGTTTGTGCAGTACATTCTTAGTTCTTGATTCCACATATTTCATCTTCTTTGAGCAGGTCATTGATGATCCCAACAGTGTTCGTGCCTCCCTTAGGGAGAGATTGACTGGTGATGATCCTGATCTCACAAAGGATGAACGTTTGAGAATAAAAGAGTTTTTTGAAGCTTGTCCTGATGAGGATCAATGAACCATCAATGAACTTGGTTGTTTACATGTAAACAAGCAGATGCACGTATATAAAATATGTTATGTAGTGAAAGATTGAATCCGAACCTTAGATAAGATCTATGTAACATTATTTAAATATAGTACACACAGTTTCAATTAATGTAACATGACATGTAATGACTTTTAATAAGATGGATTTTACATTTATAGCTACATAGATGTTTAAATGTTAAAGTTGCTATGGAGACATTTAGAGAAGATGACTGTTAATTTTAAGTTGCAATCTTTGAGTAATTAAAATTATAGAACAACATTGGTCAACTCCCTAAATGATCCGGTTACGTGATTTTTTGCTTTGGTAGCACACTTGAATTGGGAAAATGTTTTCTATTTTCATTTTTATTTTAATTGATAATTACAAAATGTCACTTTATTTTTTATTCTGTTTTTTATTTTTAAATATTCACAATTTTGAAAATAAAAAAAGTAAAAATAAATTGATATTTTGTTATTATGTTAAAATAGAAACATCAACAACATCACATTATTTTTATCCTAAATTAATTGGGATCGGTGGCAGATGAACTCAAATAATAAGTATATAAAACAGAATAAAAAAATTAAAAGAACTATAAATATCATTATATATGAAAACATAGCAATAAATAATTCAGAAGAAGATTAAAATAAAATAAAGTGAAAATAAAGATACATAAGATAGAAAATAACATGAGTGAGAAAAAAGAAAAAGAAATAGAGAGATAAAAATAAATAAATTAATAAGAAAAGACAAAGAGTGAGGGAAGAAAGTGAAATAAAGGAAAGCAGAAAGGAAAAAAGTTGAGGTAAAGAAAGAAATAGAGAGATATAGGGAAAAAAAATTAAAAAGGGACTATCCGGAACATAGGAAGTAAAAATGGGTCTAACCCTTTACGATGTTAATAGCTTTCCTCTAATTCGTTCTAAGATATACAGTCCGTCAATCTATATCTTATTCCACTAATTAAGTATTGTTTCACTATTTTTCCCAAAGTAAGTTTTGACCGACATTTTCCTTTCTTTATGTCGAGTTCTTGATAATACATTTTTGTTCTTACATGAGCATCTAAGGGTCTTCGCATTATGTGCCTAAACAATTTCAATCTATGTTCGGCTGTTCGCTCATCTTTTCAACTACTAGTACAATTTTTTCCTTTCTTTGAATATCTTCATTTTTATCTTATTTATCCTTGTATGACTACACATCCATGTTAATATCCTCATTTCTGCTACTTATGCTACTTACATTTTATGTCCATGTTGCTTATATGCTGGCCAACATTCGGTTCCATATAACATTGAAGGCCTTACTGTTTTTCTATAGAACTTTTCTTTTAGCATAAGGAAAATCTTGTGTTCGTATAGAAACCTAAGGGGAAGTAATTGAATAATATTTTCACTGACTATACTTGAATTCAATATATTCTCGCAAGCTTGAAATCCATCATTGTATAATATCACCGGTTTAATGAAGGGTAAACTTTTTCTTATGCTGCAGGTAAATGAATTTTTTTTCCTGCACTAACATAGTAAACTATGCCTCACTTTTTTCTTATTTTTTTTATAAAATGGTGGGACCCATTGTTTCTTTGTATCAGCAGAAAGTTAAACAATTTTTCAGCAAAAGGAGAAAAGCAAATCCCTTTGATGAATGAATTAAGGATTTCTATAGATTGAACTTGAGTTTAATTTTAAAGTACTTTGCAGTATCTTTTACATTATCATTTAATTATGCATTTTTACATCAATATTACTGTAGTTATAGTTAATGACTGGATTTAATTTTAATATATTGTTACTGTACAAAAATTTATATTATCACTTTATTATATATGAAGCAAGTTATCTAGGGGTGTCAAAAAGACATGACACGACACGAATTTGACACAATATGAATGCACGCAACATGAATACGATATAATTTTTTATTTATGTCAAAATCTTCGATACGAACACAACCGCAAATTTTGTGAATTGACATGACACGACACGATTAACACACAAATTATGAGTCAAAATAGTAATTAATTAAAAAATTAGAAAAAATGGATTGAATTTACAACAAAAAAGGGTCAAATTCGTGTTAACACGACACGAATCTTCGCATGTCATATTTTTTAACACGAATATGACGTAAATTTTAATGAGTTAACTTGAACACAAATTTTTGTGTCGCGTTAAGAATTAACACTTATAAATTTATCCTTACTCAGGATAAGTGTAACAATTTTTATATTTATTTTTGGTTATTGATTTACTTATATTCAATTAACTAAAAAATTAAAACCGAATCAAACAACCAAAATTAAAAATATAACTATATCGATTGGTATTTCTAACTCAATATATATTACAATATTACAAAAAAAAATGACACTTGCTGCTTAAGTCGAAAGACAAATAATGCATAATTGAGTAATATCATAAAATATTTTACATTAATAGTATATTAAATTAAGAATTTATTTTAATGTGTTATTAGAATTAAAATTTATATTATTACTATTATTTGATGACATATTATTACATCATTTAATGAATTTAATAATATAAAAATATTAAATTTATTGAATGATATAAATTTAATTATTAAATAATAATATAAAATTATTTTTCTCTTACAAATTAAATTCCAAAATAAAACTCTTAAAACTTAAAAATTAAGCAAACACTAATAGCTGGCAGGGAGGGTAGCGACCTTAATCTATCTAGAGTCCACTACCTACGACCAAATCAAATAATTTTTATATATTTGTCTTTAATAAAAGGGAAGAAAATGGGCAAAAAGACAAAAAAAAAAAAAAAAAAACTACAAAATATTAATACGCGTCTACACCTGTGTGCATAGATGACTAAAACAACTCAAAAATTTCAAATATTTATCAAGTCGTCGAGATATTGTATAAGAAGTGCTAAATGTTGACTTATTTGGCTCAAAGGATTAAAGGAGAAAAGGGAACCAAAACAAAAGTTGGAGATAAATTTTATGATATATAGGGAAATGTGATATATAGGTAAATGGTTGGAAAGTGTGATAGGTAGTAAAATATAAAAAAAAGTTGTTTGGTTGAAAAAAATTATACTGGGAAAATTAGGTAATTTTTTTAAAATCTATGTTTGGTTGTAGATAAAATATAGATGGGGAAATAGGATGAAATGACAAAAACAACCCTGATACAATTATTTTAAAACAACCAGTGCCTAAAAGTGAGTGTGTCGTAACACATCTCACTCCCCCCCCCTAACGTCAAAATTTGGTTTCCTTATCGCTGTGTCTCTCTCCGGCTGTCGTTTCTCGTATCGCCAACAATAACTCCGGCACGGTGAGGCAGTGGTGTGAACTCTGAGTCAACAGGCACAAACAAAGCTTTGACATTAGGGAAGTGTTCTGCATTGCAGACGATTTGGGGACATTAGGGTTCGACCTGGAGGCTGGCACCATAAGCAACCATAAAGCGTGTTAATCCTTGTATGTACAGGTAAAAAAAATTCCCTGCTTTGAGTTATTGATTCCTCCTTTTTTACTTTCCTTTTGAATACATATTTCCAACTCTTTCTCCACTATTTCTTGAAATTTTTGATTTTAGTATCCCACATGTTAAGAAGCTTTTTTTAATTACAGTCCTTATTGTCCTTTGCTTTGGTTATGCCCATTTGATGCTTAACTTGGATAGGATTTTGGCTTGCTATGATTTCGGTCTGGAATTTTATAGTGTACGATGAACCTAGGTAAGCTCTTAGAAATTAGAAGTGGAGAGTCGAGACAGCTCTTCATTATATTTTTTCTATCTGCTCTTCATTTGTTCCTGTAGTTATGAACCCTCAGACTAAATTGGTTCAACAATCGAACAAGTTATTGGCCATTTTTTGGTTGTTGGTAATTTTTGTGGATCCATTATTTTTCTTCTTAATCTATGTGCAGCAGGTATGATTCTTTTCCTCTTATTTAATTGTAAAATCCTGCAAGTTGTAGATACTAATGTTTCCCTTCTACTATTTTTGCAAATTTACTCTTCATTTTTCTGATTTATTGTATGCAGGATAATTTCTGATCAATAGCCATTATGAGGAAATGAACTGGAAAGATATTGGGATGTGATTGTATAAATACCAATATCCTATTGCCTTTAAAATCCTTGATTGGTTCTATCTGATCCTATTTAGAATACAATCCTTTATATGATACGCCTTCCCATGCTGACCTTGACATGTATTCTGTAGTGGTGAATTTGTTTTATTCAGGAAAATTGCTTGCTTGTATGATTTTGTTTATATAGTTTTCTTGTTGAAAGCAGCTCATATCAGAAGTTAATTTTATATCCATTTTAGTAATAATGAAATTTAAATTTATTATTGTACCTTGTTATAAACCAGTCATTGAAAGAGCATACATTTTTGTAAAATATTTGTTGAAACAATTCTGGATTTTACTATATAAGCATGTGTATAAGTTGTTGCGTAAAAGTGTAACTTAAGTGTCGATTTGTGTCCTTCTTCTTATGGCAGTAACCAAAATAGGCAGTGACACGTGGGAGGAGTCTGTGAAAGAGCACAGTAGCACAGACTGAAGCAAGCATGGGTGGATGTGGGTCTGGCATAGGTGTAGGTGATAGCGTCAATTCAAGGCATTATTCATCCTTATCCTCTTCCGCGGTGAAGCTGTGCTATTGCGGAGTGCCGACTTTGTTGCGAATGTCACATACACAAAGGAATCCGGACCGACAATTTCTCTGATGTCCTAATTCCAGAACACAGCGAGATTTCCATTTTTTTGAGTGGTTTGAAGAACCGAGTTGCCGTAATTGCGCGAAGTTGGAGAAGATGATGAAACAACAGAGTCATCAAATAATTGTAATTGTTATAACATTTGGGATCATCATGACCTGTATGTTGATATTCCGTTGACTTCTATTGTAATGGTGTAGGGTTTGTGTTGTTGTGTATATTTAGTACTTATGTTGTGTGGACCTGTAATTTAGGGTAACCATGAACGTGTTAATTAGCTTGACGTAGCATTTCATCTTGTGGGACTTATATGTACTTTTTTGTGTGTATGACATAACAATTGTCTATGATGTTTGTTTGTTAGTTTAGGATGTCAGTTATTAATGTCAATGACTCTGTTTGATTTGTTATATGTGTCTTCTATATGTTGGGTTTTCTCTA